CAGAGGAGGAGGCGGGAAGGGGGGACAGGAGGGAGGGAGGACAGAAGGGAAGGAGGACAGGAAGGAAGGTGGGGGGAGAGGAGGGATGGCAGGGGAGGGACAGGAGGGCGGGGTGGGGGGGGGACAGGACGGAGGGGCCGGGCGGCCGCTGGACAGCCCGAGGGCGCGGCCTCACGATCTGGGGGTCGGGCGCGGCGCCGCTGCTGTAGGTGGTGGTGAGCGTGGAGGCGCAGGCCTCGCTGTACCAGGGCACGCGGCCGCGCCAGGTGGCGCTGCCCACGGAGAGCGTGTGGATGCTGTTGGTGTAGCCGTCGCAGTTGCAGTCATCGTAGTGCAGCCCGCCGTTGCCCGATGCCCAGACAAAGAGCGTGCCCAGCCCGCCGCGGCCCTGAGGACGGCACACGGGGACACAGGGACGGGGCGTGGGCCTCCGCACCCGCCCGCCCGGCCCCCGGCCCCCGCCGGCTCACCTGGGTCACACCGCGCCGGAAGGCCTCGTGGGTGAGCGCGCCAGGGCCGTCCACCGTGCGGCCGTCATCCTCGGGGCCCCAGCTGGCGCTGTAGACGTGGATGTACTGGGGCTGCAGGCTCAGCGACTGGGCCTCGATCACGTCCGTGATGGTGCCGTCCAGCATGCGCACGCCTGCGGGGGGCACTCTGCGTCACCTGCCCATGCCCTGTCCAACCCCGTGAGTGGGGTGTTGTGTGGGGCCCAGCTCCCCCCGGAGTCGGGGCCCGGGCATCGCCCTGCATCCGGGATGCCCTGCATCTGCCAACTCCCCCAGCGTTCCCGGCCACCCAGGGCCACCGGGTCCGACCTCTGTCCACGGGCAGGAGAAGAGGGATCCTGGTACCTCCGATTCGGGCATTGTAGGCCACGCCTGTGCCACAGAACCTGTTGTTAGCCATTGCGGCCACCTCCCCAGCACAGCGGGTCCCGTGCCTGGCGTCAGGGCAGAGAGGGGTGCCCGTCAGAGCCCCCCGGTCCCCCCAGGGCCATAGGGGCTGCCCCCACATGGGACGCCGGGCTCACCGGTTCTCGTTACTGGGCGTGTATCGCGGCTGGGGGTCTGGGTCGTAGTCGTTGAAGTCGTAGCTGGCCAGGGGGTCCTGGGGGCGGGGTGGGGATTGGAGGCAGCTGGGACCAGCCGCCAGCTGTGGGGCGGCCCCCACCCGGCCCCCCATGCGCTCACGTAGTTGGCCCAGAGGTCCGGGTGGTCCTTCTCGATGCCGTCGTCCAGGACAGACACCACGACACCCTGGCCCGACAGCCCTTGGCTCCAGACCTGCCGGATGTTCAGGTCTGGCTGCACCTCGTTGTTCTGCGCGGGGGGCGGTGCGGGGCTGGGTCAGTGGGGCTCCAGCCGGCCCGTCCCCGCCGCCCGGCCTGGCCTGCTTACCATGTACCACTGCTTGGGGAACCAGGGGTCTGTGGGCACCACCAAGGAGCGCTTCACCCGCCGCCGCAGGGTCTGCTGCTCGAACCACTGCACCTGGAGGGAGCAGGGGGGCTCTGACGGGCACCCTTCTTTGCCGTCAGCGGGAGGGGCTGACCCACGGGCCAAGGGGGCCTGCCCTTCCCAGCCCTTCCCAGCCCTTCCCACCAGTTCCCGGGCACAGGGCCCAAGTCTGCTTCTAGGGTCTGCGTGGCCTCTTTGTGGGTGTGCCAAGGGGCACCCGTCTGGGGGGCTGCAGTTGGAGTGGGATGTGTGTCTGGGCTGCCCACTGCCTGTCTGGGGCCTCGTGGTGTGGGCCGGGGCCGGGACCCCATATTTGCTAGGGCTGCTCGTCGGGGTCCCCCTGTGCCTGGGGCTCTGCCTTCAGAGGGGACCGAGGCCTTCAGTGAACCCCTCCCACAGAGCACAGTGTGGTTGCTCCCCGGGGTGGCTGGGGCTCCTGGGGTCCCAACCCTGCCCCTTCCCCTGGCCCTGTTCCAGAATCTCTCTGCCCAAGGCCTACCTATCTCCCCCTACACCTCCCATTCCCCTGTGCAGGACATCCCTGCCTGGCCATACCCGCCTCCTCCCTGGTCCTCCAGCTGCCCCCCTGCCTCTCTGCAATCCACTCTCAGCACACCCTTCTGTGGCTCCCCACTGCCCTCTCCAGGGCCACAAAGCCCCCTGTTGTCTGGCCCCCACCAGCCTCCCTCTGCTGCAACCACAGTGGCTGCCTCACCCCAGAGCGTTTGCACATGCCGTTCTGCCTGTGCAGGGCTGCTGTTCCTCAGACCTTTGCCCTTCCTCCTTCTTCCGGGTTGATCTCCCACCCCCGAAACCAGCTCATGTCTCCCCGCCCCCATCTCAGCAATCAGGGCCATCGTCTCCCCATTTGTTCAGCTCCAGACTTGGGAGCTGGCCCTGATTTCTCTCTGTTGCACACATCCAATCCGTCGGCAAGCCCTGACCTCTCCTGCAAACCACATCTTGAACATGCCACTTCTCTCTGTCCCCAGTGCTCCTGGCATGTTTCCAGCTGTCACGCCTCTTGCCTCCTTGCCCATCAGTCCTTCAGCCCAGCCCACAACCCTTCGTGGCTCCCGAGCGCTTGCAGACTCAGCCCCAACTCCTCTGCTGGGCATCTAAGTCCTTTTCCCAATCTGGCACCTCTCTGAGCGCCTGGAGACTGGGTTCTGGTCCCAATTCAGCCCCGGCACAGCCTCATGGGTGACTTCAGCAGGATTCCGAGTCTTTGGAACTATTTCCTCCATCGTAAAATGGGCCAGTTCCACCCGCCTCCATCCTGTGAGCTAGAACGTTATCTGCCTCTCTTTACGGGGTACCTGGGGACCCTGATCTCTCAGGGTGAGCTAGAGGAGGAAAGGGGGCTGAGCAGATATGCTGACTGTGTGCCAGGCCCTGGGATGAGCGCCTTGCCCACATGTGATCTGTGGTTCTCCCCATGTGGTCCCCACTGTATAGACTGGGGGGCCAAGCAGAAACTGAGATTCAGAGAGCAGGTGACTTGTCGAAGGTCACACAGCCATTCATGCTAATCACGAGAACAAGAGGTGGCCGGGACCCCCAGGGGGCAGCCCTGAGGCCAGGCTCACCTTGGGGTCTTTCTTCAGCCGAAGGCGGTGGCCCCAGTGCGGGGTCAGGGACTGCTGGACCACGCCCCGGTGCCGCAGGTGGAAGTACTGCCCGTCGGGGAAGATCTGGGAATGCGGGGGAGCAGCCGCATCGCTGGGACCCGGCTCCCCGGAAACTGGATGGTGGGCTCCGCTGGGGCCCACCTCCCCAGGACCGGGGCCAGGCCCCTTGCTTGCATCCGCCCCCAACCAGGTGCCCAGGTCGGGGCTTCAGGGGTCCCAGCGTCTGAAGTTGGTCGAGGCAGGGGTGGACTGCGTGTTCTTGATATGTGGGGGACCTGGGGGAACCCCTCCCGTCTGTCGGGGTCTGGGGTCGTCCAGCCCCCAACCCCTCCCGTCCATGCAGGGCCCGCCCACCTGCCCCAGGTTAACGAAGCCGAATTTGCGCGCCAGGCGCTCGGCCTCCTGGTAACCCTGGGACACCCGCACGGCCCAGCTGTTGACATAGATGGGGGCCCGGGCAGAGGCCCAACCCACAGCCAGGGGGCCAACCAGGCCCAGGGCCAAGGCCAGGCGCAGCCACAGCGCAGTCCAGGCGGGCCGCATGGCGGCGGGGGCGGGGCCGGGGGCGGGGCCTCTGGAAGCTCCTCCCCCTGGCCAAACCGCCGAGTCGGCCCACGCACCCGCCCCGCCCCCCCGGTGCCATGGCAACCCATGCTAGGCTTCAACTCCCAGGGGGCCTTGCGGCTCCCCACTGGAGGGGAGCGAAGATCCGACAGAAGTGGGGGTCGACACAGTCCCGCACTGGTCTTCCGCAGACCCTAACCCTCTGCAGCCTCAGCCTCCCCGTCTGTGCAATGACTCAAACCTTCTGACTCAGGGGAGCGAGTTCACTGTTGCTACAATTGACCACGCCCCATGATCTGGCCCCGCCCACTTTCGTACACACCCCTCCCTCTGAAATCAGCCCTGCCTCCTCTCCGGTCCAATCAGAATTGTGCTCTTGAGTAAGCCCGTCTCCTCAATTTAGCCCCGCCTCCATCCGCACCGCTCGTATTCCGCCCAGCCTCCTTTATGCTTAGCCCCGCCCCTCCTCTGTTCTCGCCAATGAATCCCTTGCCGTTTTTCCAATCAGCGCTGGCCTTTCTCCGGCTCCACCCACTAGCACACGCCTCTCTTCCCCTCCAGCTCCACCCCCAACAACGGCGAAGCCAATAATCCCCGGCCATGACCACGCCCCTCCAATCAGCTACGTCTCGCTCCCGCTCGGCCAATCGGCGCCC